GCATACAATAATTGGCAGTCATAAGTGACAGAAGATATGAGATATAGACAGACAAAGTGCTGCACTGACAGAATGACTGATGGACAGAGTGCAAGCTGTAGTCCACCCTAGTAGTACCATTGGAGGGCTAAGGAACAAGTACAGCAGAACTTGAAGTCAGTTTGTATGATGTGAAGTGACCGAGAGATAAATCTCATACCTAGAAGGACACCAGTCTATCACAAGATTACTTTAAAGCATAGTGGTATCTATTTATACATTTGGGAAGACTGGAACAATTGGGGCCAAAAGTTTTGTTTAAGTACACTACAATAGAAGTAAACAGCCCTGTTCTAGCCTGCAGAAACTCGCCCAGAAGTTTCAAATATTCAGGAGAATCTGTGTCACATTCCCAGTGACTGTATACAACTTCAAAAAGAAATCTGATATCTATTTATACCAAGTACAGTGTCATGTGGCCAAACTATTTTATATGGACGCCTATATAGCTATCTCTGTCATAGCTCTGGTATTTACCTGGCTCTGTCAATCAATATTGCATCATCAAGAAACACACCTATACAAGGTAACCAATTCTAAAAAGTTGAGAAAAAATAATTTGAAAATGAATTTGAATTTAGACAAGAACAAAACTCTTGAGAGATATATAGCTTCAGACATGCCAACTCATTATAAATGGAAACAGCCTTACTAGAAGGGAACACATGAATTAAGGCAGACACAATGTCATATAAAAGTTCTGCATGCTGTGACCTCTTATGGGCCAGGAAGGTCAGCCCTTTCTTGAGTTTCACTTTTGGTCCCAGCTAAACTACGGACTAGTTCCATGAAAATCTGACAAGACAGTTTCTCAGAAGTCAAAAATATGATTGTTTATGGACAGACAAAGGACTTCCACTAAAGGTGACCGAAGTAACTCAGGAAACAAACCAATTTGAAAAATAAAAAAATGTTTTGAAGTTGATTGAATTATGTGTTTATTGATATTAAAATGTATGCCCAAGTAGGCTAGCCCCAGAAAGTAAATGGTTTGATCATGTCTCAATGTATTCAAACTGAGAAATGAACATGTTACATGACGGGCTCCCATTAGTTTCGAGGTGTAGATTACAATATCTGATAATATTCAAACTCTCCACTAGTACGTTACGCCAGTTTATTTTTATTGATACAAAACAAACTATTAAATGAAACATACTACACCAAGATATTAGTCTTCGAGCTTACAACCACCGGCAGTGCTTAATTTATGAATGCTCAATTTAACATGTTCCCTAGATCATGTCACCAAAATATTGAATGTTTGATACAGTCTTAATCAGTGCAGAAGCATTGTTGTGGAAAATAGTATGGCCGGAACCACAAGGGGAAGTAATAAGGCCTACTGGCATGTCTACAAGAAATTTTTCATGAGAATAATAATGGATTTTTTTTTTATTCAAGATACAGATAAGATTTAACGCTAGTTTTTTTTCCAGGCAATTATGTCATGTTTGATGCTTCATTTCAGACGTCTAAGTAAAACAGCATTATACAGAATATAAAATGCAACGATAATTCTCCTCTACCTGTTTTGAATACATTAGGAGGTCTACAACAGGGTTCTGTTTTGGTATGACTCATGTTAAGCTATAGCTATAAATGCATCTCTCTACCTGTCTAAAGTAAACCTTGTATAATCTGAAAACCTTTATAAACCACACCTGCAACTCAGGGATGTTGCATCTACAGTACATTTCACATCATATCATGTCACTTAATATCAAATTAATCAAAGTAGAATCTGTGATCTGAAAACATGTCTGTTCTGAAAGAAATTAAAAGAGTAGATAATCTGCATAGACATATTGTACTGTAATAAAGGTCTTGGTGGTCAGATTACACAGGTTTCCCTGCAATAAGGGTTAAGATAGACAGGTTTACTTGAGATCAATGTCTTGATGGTCTTTTTAGACAGGTTTTATTGAAATAAATATATTGGTCCTTCTTGAAAGGTTTTTTACTTAAATCAAGGTCTCTGTAGACAGGTTTTATTGTAATAAGGGTCTTGGTGATAATGTTGGATAGGTTTTGCTGTATTTCGAACAAAATTGTTCATAATGAATTTGTACAATCTATGCTACCAAATCTGTAAAGTTTTTGCATCAATATTTGATGTTTTCAGACAGACAAAACTATTTAGTGGCAAATACTGAAATATTTAACCAGGCCATCAACAGAAGCAGACTCTTGTGGTTTACGAAAAAGTTGGCACCTCACCTATTCCGAAGTCCATACAGTAGCTTATATTAATCTCTCAAAGATTTTTCCATTTAACAGGCAACATGAAAACAAATATTTGGTCCCTTTCTCTTTCGGGTGCAAGAAGATTCGCGATATCTGTAGGAGTGAACATGCTAAGAGGAAAGAATCTCACCTACCTGTGATTTCTGATAGCTGACAAACTTCGGAACCTGGGAGGGTTACCTATCCTGTACACTTATCACAATGGTTAACGTTGGGTAGGGGCGAAAATATGCAGCCCACGACATATTGATTGGTTCCTTTCATGAAATATTCTGGTTTACACGACACAATACGAGTCACCATTAAGCGTTAAAATCCCCGTAATTCCGTTCTTTAAATCCTTTCTGATTTCCATTGTGAAGTTGACGGGACAAAAGGTATTGTTTCCTAATCTCGACTCACGTATCCACAAAATGCTGGAGTTGGTTAATAGAATTTACATTGAAGCATGTCGGAATCATAAATGGTACTCAGTCCAAATAACGGATAGAAAAATCGTTGTCAATTCAATCTTCAAATTCACGTATACACGTAATATCAGCTTACATATGACCACCGAAAACTTTTCATATGACATTTTCTTCTTCTTCCTAATTTAATTTTCTCCAGTTTTAACAAAACTGATAACAAAGTTTCTCCATGATGAGTTTCTTATCATATAACTAATGATCACTAAAGAAAAAAAACGAAAAAACTTTTTTAAATAAGCAATCAAAGTTGACAAATCTTTTGAAAAGTACATGGATTCTTGCCAGAAACCACTTACATATGTTTAAGTCTGGTCTATGAGTTCCTTGTAAAACTTTTTGTGCTAAGAATTAACAACAGTTGAAATAAAAGGTCATTAGGTTATAGACACAGGACAAAACAAAGCATTAACAAGTTCTATAATATCACCGGTACGTACATACATACAAAGGGAAGGAACCTATTTGGAGAAATTACGACATCGTGACACACTATCAGGCTGGATTTACTGGGAGTGAAATTATAAGCTCAAACACACTGGAATTTTGTATAGGTAAGATGTTTAATTAAGGTATGTGAAAATCTGAAAAGAAATATCAAGGAATTTGAAAATAAAATATTTGCCCAGGGACATATTCAAAGGTTTAAGGTTATCTGTGTTATACACTTAACAGTAATCTCTCTTCTGGGGTGTCATGGAACCTGTCGTTGTACCAGGGTTTAAATTATAGACACACACAGGATACTCACATGTTCTATGAACGGAGATGGTCAGAGCAAAACTACTCAAAAGCACCCCCATCAGTGATCATACAGTAAAATGGCAGCATTGTGGTAAACTAGGTTTTAGGGGAGGTAACTCTTATAGGTGTAATGTGCAAGGGAGATAACTCTTACACAGCTCACAGGTATGTGTAAGGCAGCTTATAGCCTTAAACTGGATTTCAAATCAAGTTTTTTATGTAAAATCTACAAGTGACAAGAAATGGTTTCTCATTTCCTTTCTACAACAGATTTTAAAATTTTCATAACGAGTAACACCATTAAATGCAAATTAACATTTTGATTAACAAGACCTTTAGAATAGTTTCCACAACCATACACCAAGACTAGTTAAAGTCAAATAAGTGAAAGAAGACATTTTTAAAAGTGCCTTGGAAGATGAAAGGAATTTGGCAACAAATCTTAGTAATTTTGAAGTCCTCAACATAACAAACACGAACTAGGTTTGACAAAACTCAACAGGAGATAGGATTTCTTTTGTTACTTATATATACACACAGGTAATGACCGTTTGGTAATGATTTTTATCTGCCGTTTTTACATCAAAAACTGTTGTATGTATATATACACACACAATATAAACTTATTCTATTTTACAAAAGACCTGATTGTTGTAGTCTGAACTGACGACAAATCAGACATTGTGTGATATGTGACAAAAAGGCAGTATTCTGTTTCTTGTCGAAGCAGAAGCTACATGGAGCGTAACAAATTGTGTTACAATGGAACCATGACATATCTGCTGATTTTAGTCTGACTAAAAATAGTGTAATGATTCATCATTAAACGATAAATAGCACCCGGATCTTAAACCCTTCTGGTTGATCTATTTTAAGTAAATGAGTAATACTTCAGATTTGACTTAATGCCTCTTCAGGGAAGGAGTCATTCATGTATTGCAGACTTATGGCATGTCAACTCCTGAGTGTATAGCATTTTTCTGTCTGTTCAATATTTCGTGCATAAATACACTTTACTTATGCCATATAGAAGCAAACTTTTCATCGATACGTTTCCCCATAACTAAAATGAAAGCATTACATTGACCAACAAGTACATTGTTAGCATGACATTGTTCAAATAAATATATTTATTGATTTTGTTTTTAAAGAACAATAACTTTTTTTTTCAAAATGTTTGTTTTCCAAACCCAGTGAGTTGGATTTCATCCTGGTTTTTATTTTGTTAAAATGATGAGAGTGCACAACTCAAAACTCACTGCTGGAAGGATGCCAGTCTTACAACAGATAACTTCCCAATATGCTCATACCTATCAGTACAGCTGGGCAATTTGCAATCAGAGTAAAAGAGTCTTAATCAAGTGAGCAACATAACGTATCACCTACTGTGAGAATCTGACCCCTGACCTTTCGAGCTGCGGCCAACGCTCTACCACAGAGCCATGCTCCTGCGTAAAGACCATGCTCCTGCGTAAAGAGATAATATTAAGAGTATATACTTACAAATACAAGCTTGCCACCAGTCTCCTTGTTGAGTTTCTTCATCTCATCCTTTAGGTCAATCAGTCGCTTGTGAAGGTTCGTAAGTTCACTGTCGCCTTTCACAATGTCCTCTTCACTGACCCAACTCACACTTGACCATTCCCGGTCATCTTCATCACCTAGCAACCAAAAAAATAAAATAAATGTTTATATTCACTTCCATTGGAACTCAACAGATCACCATTTTAAAGAAATATGTCGCTTTATAAAACATACCTTAATCTGCATTATTTCTGTTTCTAATCATACCTGTAATCTATGTCAAACTACAATACATATCCACAAAAATATTTATTTTTTACATGTTCTGCACATGAACAGTTTGTATATCTATAAATTGTTTGTTATGCAACAATCAAGAGAAATAAAATACCTAACAAATTCAAACTGTGATAGGTAAAAAAATATTAAGTATATCCAGAAGCTGTAGAAAGGTGAATTTATGCAGTGGTAAGCCTACCAGAGTTATGCCCCTTCTACTGCATTGAGTGCTAATGAAATCCTCTCGGTCACAGTTTCAGTCGATGGAAATACATGTACTCATGACCCACATTAGGCATGGCTTGAAATTGATTTTGACATACAGACCATGTAAATTTATGTTGAATATAGACACTTGATCGGTACATTGCTGATATCTATTAGATCATTAGTGTCCTATTTTGGTTAAGAAACTGATCTATCCTTGGACTAATAAGGGTCTTCATTCTTTCAGCTATAGCTAAGGTTGCAAATTCTATTTCTACACCAAGTAAACTTTGAATGATTTGGTATATATTTAAATAATTCATAAGTAAACCTATTTAATTTCATAAACTTTGGGACATGTGTATTAAGTAACCAATATTAATCTCTATATATATATATACCTGTCAGGCTCACCTGTCCACAGGTACTTCATACAACCACAGACATACTGGGCTTCCCCCAGTGTCCATGTCTATTATGAAAATTTTATTCATCTAGAAACTGTCTTTCTAGAATCGAAACAAACATGCAGAGTAGCCCCTAAGATTGCCAAAGATTATAACTTTTTTAGTAAATATATATATAGTAGCTTTTGTAGTTGAAACAAATGAAAGGAACAACACAATCTTGATCTTACTTGGACTTTGTGTTATTTGTATAAAGTATCAGTATAATTTCATTTTTTTGTAATGTTGTAATGTTGATGATTGTGGATATGTCAGCTCAACACAAGACACACATCAATACAACAATCATGTGAGAACAAACAATTAGCAACAGGTAAACTTTTAAATTACAGTTTATCTTGCTAAATAAATACAAAGGTTCATTCTTATTAGTGCCTTTCAAAAACGTATGTTAACTATAAAGCATTGGAGTAACACACTGTGACACATAATCACAGATCACAGCAGAAGTCAACAGAAAACACAGGTGAACAGTTTCTACATTCTGTAAGGGGAAAAAAGCCACTTGCATTTAAATGAAACCGCTTAAAAACTCTCAGTGAAACATCATTAATGTAACTGTTTTTAATGTGCACAGAATTCAAAAGTATTTTGTTCATCATTTCCCTCAGAAAGTCAACAAAAAGTTGAACAATTCTTACTTTTTCAATCGTAACTTTTTTAAAGGGTGTATCAAAGAAATTTGAATTGAATACTACACATCAGTTGGTAACATCATAATGGATCCCCAACCAATCAAAATCCGGTTATTTTAGTTGTCATAGATTTTTATTTATTTTTTGTGTTCTACATCCTATTAACAACTATGGTCATTTAAGGACGTGCCAGGTTTTGGTGGTGGAGGAAAGCCGGAGTTCTCGGAGAAAAACCACCAACCTACAGCCAGTACCTGGCGATTGCCCCACGTAGGTCTCGAACCCACAACCCAGTGGTGGAGGGCTAGTGGTAGCAGAATGTCAGATGCCTTAACCACTTGGCCGACGTGGCCCCTAAGAAGGCCTTAGAGAACAGTCTACATGTAAGCTGATATAGTGGGTAAACCATGTTGAAAGGGTAACCGATAAGTTTGACTGAAGTTTGCTGAACTTAATTTGAGATTTTACCAAGAAAGAAAGTTTTTGGTTATAAACATGATTAAAGTCCTAAACATAATCTCTCAGAATAAATAATAAATACTAAAACACCTCACCTTTGATTGTCATGAACACAGTATCTTCCTCATCCTCCATTGTGGAACAGCTTCCCCGTCGATCTGGAGATTTCCCGGGCTTACCACTACTCCACAATTCAAAGAACTTGTCTCCGAAGCCGTGTAGGCTTGCAAGGATTTCCTCGTTTTCTTTGGATAAGTTTTTATTGTTATTGTCTGAGGTGTGAGAATTTAAAAACAAACTTTCGCCAGTCACTGGAATTCTGTCTATAGCGTCTTTGTCAAATGGACTTGTTTTGAACGGGTAGTGTACTTCCGGCTCTTCACCCTCCGATAAATTACTCTTCTTTCTCTCCTCTGGAAAATATTGCAATAATTTCAACCTCTTTTTCGATTTGTTTTTCTTGTGTTCAATCAGAAATTATTTTTTCTTTCTTTCCATATTGATTTTTTTTTTGATTTTCTTACCTGCAGCTGATTATGAAACCGATATTGATCAGCCCTGTGATGAACGACCAACTGTTGTAAGAGACCACCTCTTCAATAGATATTTTCTCATGATGTATTATTTCTTGAACTTAAATTTGTCATAATATAATGTCTCATGAAATATGCCTTAATTGAAAATATATACAATTTCACACAAGCACACTGGGAACGAAAAGACAGACAAATCAACTGACAAATTATTCAAGATCTCGCTAAGCAACAAGAACAGACTTACTATACCCAATTTCAGATTACAGAACGTATAGACAGACAGAAAGATACAGAAGTCTGTAGACACACATTAAAATTTAGATTTACCTCTTCTTTGTTCGTAAAGTTGGTGGAAAGGATCGGGATCTTTTGTAGCTTTACTGTGAAGAGACGATAATCGCTGGAAAGAAATAACAGCAAAAAACATCAAATATTATAAATTTCTAAATAAAAGTTAAATAATATCATACAATAGATACAAATTCTAAGAAATGATTTTGAAATAACTGGAAAATATGTCTTGTTATGGAACACAAAAACAGATAAATAGAGGTAAAACCAGGCCTAATAATTGATCTCTATATACAACACGACTGGTGGCTAGCAACTGAAATGAGACAGAATGGAAGTTTCTCCTTAATTAACGTTACCATAGAAACATGTACTAGATAATATCTACATCAATTATTTACAATGGAAAGTTTAGAATCTTTATTTTCCTACTTTATTATCATGAACCAACCTCCCCAGCAACTACACTTTGACAATGTGTTACTTATCATTATAAAATATCATATTATGATTATTTCCTCAAAGACAAAATATCAACATAAACCTTCACAAAACACAGATGTTATCTTAAATCTTGTATGTTTGGGGGCAGATATTGATTGATTTTGATGTCAGAAACAGGTCATACATGGACGAAAGTTAATGGTTTATGTCAAGGGAGACAACTGGTGGAAGGAAAGGAAAAGTTAAGGATATCCAGCTCTAGTGGATCAGGTGGATGTGATCACCAGTCTAGAGGATTGGGTCAGAGGTAGGGGAGATAAGAATTAAGATCTTAAGGGTGTAGACTATGTATCTCTTAACTCGTAAGAGAATGGGGTCGGAGAAAGGGGAGATAAGAATTAAGATATAAAGGGTGTGGATTATGTATCACCTAACTTGTAAGAGGATTGGGGTTGGAGTCGGAAAAGTGGGCGTCGATCATCATGTTCGTTGGAGTCGGGGAAGTCGGAGAAGGAGGAGGAGGAGAAAGAGGAGGGAACACAAGGACTCTTACCTTATTGAGTTCAGCCGTCTCCTCCTTTATGATGACATTCTCTCCATATAACTTCTGTTCCCCTAAAATCACCTTGACTGTGTCTTGTCGGATCTTCTCATGCTCCTTCTTTAATCTTAAAAAATAAATAAAATGCAATAAGGAATTTGCAGGAGCTGCCTTATCAGGTGCTAATTACTAGTCCTATGCCACCTGGTTAATATCTCCCTATGTGTGTATGCCTGTGTGTGTGCTTGAGATGTGATGTGTTCTGTTTGTAGTGGGACTGTGCTTCCAACAGCATCATTTATAGTGCCACCTTTCTGGAATGCTACACCACAGATACCGCAACACGATACATCCACCCCAGACCATACTCCACCTGGGTTGTTGGAGTTGTGTGGGCAGGAGAAAAACACTTTCTCTGAATATCCATGCATACAAAAAGGTTTATTCTGAATGAAAATACAAGTCTCTGTATTGTGATTCGGTTAGACAATTACCACTGTCTACATATCTTAATCTTCTAAAAAAAAAAGTCTTTATTTCAATATTTGACACTTCGAATCCAGACGAAACTAAAATCAATTCAAATCATGGATAAATATATGCAAAGAAAAGCTGTAACATGGTGTGCTATCTCTGTTACAGGTTAACTTACCTCGCTATGATTTCTTCAAGTTTTTCTATTTCTTTTGTGTCAGCATCAGTCAGTCTGTTATGTCTATCTTCACTGATCGGACTCTTTCCAAGTCTGGTTAAGGCAGCATACTATAAATAGAATCGTCAAGGAATTACAAATTTTATACATCAGAACCTAATAACCCCCCCTTCCCCCTACTGTACAAAACATGGATATTAAAACTAGAAAGAAATTATAAGTGTATCAACTGTTCAGCTTGGAAGTAAACAACAGGTAACATTGTACCCTGTCAAGGTAATTAAATCTTATATACATTGGTACTACAGTCCCAACAGGTAAGTTTATCATATATGTCCAAATGTACCCCAATAATCTGACAAAAGCACGGGCAAGAATCACGCAACATAGACCTCCTGTTTAGCAATAATTCCGTTTTTCATGAATACAGAATATATTCATAACTGTCAACTTTATTGAGAAAAAAGAAAAATCTGAATAATTTAGGTACATGCCTGTTCTGTGACACTGTGCTAAGTTTTAGATTTTTGGCTCCTTTCAAAGAGACTGAATCCCAACATTAGATATACTAATAGTAGTTAAAAGTAACCCTTTTTTTGTATTACCAGAATCAAAGTAACATATGGGTTTTTTTATCCAGAAACTTCTAAAACCATCAATATAAAATTTCACAAGATTGAAATGTTTGAATAATGACTTAATATTCTATGTTTTTACACCTTTTTTTTTTTAATTTTGATGCAATTAAAAGCCTCTTTAGTCCAATTACCACTGATCTGTTTGTTCTACTATAAAACTGCATCAATAAGATATGAATTAGCCTTTTTCTATACAAAATCCAGCATTCCCACAAACCAGTCATTATTCCTGGAAAAGTAACTCGAAAGATTATTGAAGTTACACTTTATACGAATGGGGATTGATCATGGATCTTATTACATCTAAAAAAACCATCTGACATCAAATATAACGATTAGTATTTAAAGTTAACCATTTACATGTTTAATATGTTACCATAGAAGATATCTTCATGAAATACACGAAGAAGTTTCAAATTATTTCTGATATCATATTTTGTCACCAATTAGAAATCAATTTCAATTCATGATCAAATTAAGTGTTTGATGATTGAAATAGGACAGGAAATTGATATCTGCATTGAAGGATTTCTATCAAATCATTTCTCAGAGCAAGTCAAGTTATCTATGTTCTTTATGGATTCTTGCTTTCAAATTTCTTTTCAATTTCAAATAAAAAAAATAAAAAAATTGATGTATTTCTTAAAACAGACTACAACTGGTGAGAATCATTTGCATTAAAAATGTGTACAGTCAAAGACACAGCATTTTAACCCATTCACCCCTAAAGTCATATTTGAACCTTACCATATCTAAGACTGGGCAAGTCCAGTTTAAAAATGTAGGGGTGAATGACATTATAGTCCCTGGTACTTTGACATGTGATTGAATAAATCAACCTTAATCATTTTTAAAGTTATTTACAAGATTGGTACAGAATGCCTCACTTAGCCAATTCAACAAAACCATAATATACAAGTGTTAAAGATTTTTCTGACTACCCTGTACCCTTGCATCAACTCACCAAATCTTTTTCAAGGGAGATCTTTTCTTTCGTCAAACTGAGTCGTCGGCTCTCTTGAACTGCTTGTGCTTTTCGCTTTTCCTGTAAAAAGAAATAACTTAATAATTTCAAGAATCCAACAGATTTCAATATATGAAGCTTTTTTTAGAGGAATGGAATGCATCCTAATGTTCAATGAGGTGTTTTTTTTTGGAAAATTACTTTCATATGTAAATCAAACAATATTTTTTCAAACAATTAAATCTCGGACAAGGGGAAATTTGTTTGATCAAGGTTTCCTGAAACTCCATTCCCTCTTCTTGTCAGTCAATTTTGATTTTTTTTTTAAATCTATGCATATTTCACAAATTTCCATTCACCATTATAACATCTAGAAGCACCATTGCATAATTAACTTAAAATCTTCAAGACGACAAATTCTGGACATAAAACTAAAATATTCACAATCTTTTTCCAAAGAACTGATGATTTTTCAAGTATGTGTCCCTGGTTCATATAATCAGTGGAATCTTACTTAAGTGGCAATAGAACGGCTATCATCACATCACACACCATAAAACACCACACTCAATTCACAACAACATGAACCAAATCGCTGACGGTTAGCAAACATATTGTAGACTTTGCGATTTCATTCTCAGCGTGATATATCTACGAGATAAATACTGAAATAGACACACAGGTATATATACATGCTGTATAGATATCGTGAGTATGTTCTAGTACATATAAATAAGGATTGTAACAGGTCTGCGGAACCTCTGACAACAATCAAGTATATATACTTAGGTTCAGTTCCGTACAGGGGTTCAAATACAATGGTTTTGTATTTGTGTGTTAAAATGTGACTTTCTTGTTGTTTACCTGAACCCTTACCACAGGTGTAAGCAATAGTGGTTGTTGTACCATCGTTTCTATTATTTCATACATCAGTAAGCCAATCAATTTCTAAAACACGAATACACTTAAGGATGTATGCTACTGTACATGTACATCACTGTGACATACTCTGGCTCCAAAAGAATGCCATGCTAAAAATGTTGTAAAATGTTTTACAATGGTGAAAAAAACTGAACTTTTTAGCACTGATATAATTAAGTATACCTTAAGCTTGTATAATGCTAATTAGGTAGGTCAAGGAAGATAACTCTAACACCAATCGTCCTTAATGCACACACTCAGTAACAATTATTAGATGTATCATAGTGAAATATTTTAACAAAATAATTTAATTTTCAACAAATGATACAAGAAGCACTTTATGCAAACATTTTAGCTTTATGGTAATGCAATTAATTAATGAATGGAGAAAATATAATTTTGAAAGCGAATCATATTTGAGTATTCGTGTCCATCATGTAAAATTTGGATGCAAGGGGAAATTCTCAAAACAACCTAAAGAATTGTCATCATAAAAGTATGAAAGAGGATGATTTGTTTATTTTTTTTAAGAGACTAATAAATCCAAACCAATGTCAAAAAGTCATACACTCAAAAGAAGAGACGGTCATGCTGAAAATTACGTACCAATGACAATATTACAACTTAAATTTGAAATCTTCAGTTTCATAAGTTAGATAAACAAATGTATTTTAAAATAGACTCTAGGTTAAGTTTACGAAACCATCAAAATTTTAAAACTTTCGTTACCTACTGTTTTTCCTTCTGATGTAAACAACTACAACTCCCAATAACCACCATAATCCAATATCAGAAACAGGTGCCAACAAAATCAAAGTGCGGCTAATATTGGAAGTGCACCACCCCTAGACGTCGGAGTACAGTTCTGTGGTCTAAGTACCATTAATCCTGTTTTTGTGTTCATTTTATGGTTTTATACGTGAAGTCAATTGCGCTATTAAATCGTCATTTGGTTTATCAGCATTCTCATGAATACTTATTAATCCTCTTTATTCTGGCGTTAACCTTTCCTACCCATAGAATGCAATGGAACGATCCACAACAAATGAATGACGAGTCCATATAAAAGATCAGAAAGACGACAAGATGTGGGTGGTAGACCAGAAGTATACAAAAGTTAATCTTTGTTCACAGACATTGTTTTTCACTGTAAGTCAAGCTTATCCTAAATCATTGGATTAACGACAATGTAAGGGCATTAGATTATTGTAATTTGAAATAAAATCCCGACAAAACATTCATTAATCATTGACACGGGTACTTATTACTTTATATAGGTACTTATTACTGATCAGTACTGGCACAAAAACCTGATACACAGTACATTCAGACTGTACTTTACAGACTTTACGGTAGCTAACAGACTTTCTTCAGAAACAGTTTTTTATACCATTAACTTTTTTTAAGTAAGATTTTTAAGGGTCAAGGAAAATATGGTTCATTGATTTCATTACAACTTAAAAATTAAATAAATACATAAAGTTAAAGAGATGTTGGTACTTGATGAGGAACAAAACAGAACTAAAGGATCAATGGTTTTTATATTACCATTATTGCTTGTTTCACACCTGAGGCTCCAAAACTACCACCATTATATATTTTTCAAACATTGATTAAAAGGCTGCCTTAATTTACTATTAATCCCATCAACAACCTTTAGCCTTCATATATTGAAAAAAATAATCTAACTCCATCTTACTCGTTCTGTGGTAAATGGAATTACATAAATAGAATACTCAAATCTCAACCAATCTTTCCCGAAATTGAAAGCACAAATGACATGGCCTCAATAAAAAGGTTAATTGATATGACTTCAATTCAAAGGTTGATTGATATGAACTAAATAAATTGGTTATTTGATATAACTTAAAGGTGGAACTGTCAACTAATATGACCTAATGGAAAGGTCAATTGCTGTGACCTTGATAGAAAAGTAATCGGATATGGCAAAAGCAGGAGAAAATGCCAACAGACATGACCTAATTGGAAAGGTAAACTGGAATGACCTTTATTGATGACCTGTCCTGAATATTTTACCAGATATATTTATTCTACAAATCAAAAGTAAGCTTGAAATTTAACAAATCAATAATTAAAATGTTTGACAGAAACATGCTGATATGGTATACAAAGCAGTAACACAGATTATTGTATCTTAAAATAAGTGACACATTGAACTTTCAGAATTCAAACATTTTTGTAGCTCCACAACCCTTAGTATATATCCTATAAAGTTTATAGCTACTGAACTGCCTACTAAACTGCTGATGAAAGTATCATGCATAGTCATGAGTTAGCTAAAGGTGAAGAAGAGTTTGAGAAATTTACTGCATGGCCATGCAAATATATCACCCTGTCTTCTTGCATTCCCAGACCATGACAGATACACAACATTACGGTAATATACACTACACAGGGCTATAACTCTTAAATAAACTGCTGGAGTTTTATAACACAATCTAATGCAGGCATACTATAATTGGGACTATGTGACCAAATCCAACATTTCCAAAACATTCCAGTTCATCAAAATGTTTGCAGCAACTTTGACATCAAAATATTTTTAATGGTGATTTGCTTTTAGTGAGCTTTTGGATAGAGCCATACTTGATGAAAACCTTAAATCAGTGATTTCAAAGTGGTAATATTCAAACTAAGGACACTATCACAGCCTATTTCTCTATCATATGCATGGTGCTCAATGAAAGTGCAGACACAAGTAGATACAAGGGACATAACTCATGTCAAAATTAGCGCAAAAAGTTAATAAGCCAAGGCATTTACAAATATTTGTTTTTGACTATGATATAGCTCTGGAGAAGATAAATGAGCTAAGAGAAAAATTCCAAAGATGCCTGATAGACTAATTTTGTTCACATAGAATGTAAATGTTTTGGATAAGTGGTTTCAGCAACATAAAAGTGGAAATTTTCATGGCGTAGAAATACTGGTGTTTATTGTGTGGACATAGGCATGCACATATTTATTTAAAGATTAAATAGATTTCATTGCCAATGTGAACATTTTCATTAGTGCCATTTGTGCAAAGAGTCACAATGAGTAAATTTTTACCTGCGAAAATTTTCGCTTCTATAATATTTCCTACAGCAACACTCTCATAAGTATGTTATTTCAAGAATAAATCATGGGCAGTATAATATCAGAGGTTCATAGAAATTATTATTATATTTATAAAACGTAAAATATTGTAAAAATGCATGAAAAACTGTATTATATAGCCTTACCTTGATGGACATAAGCCTCTGCTTGTAACTGTCATATTCATTCACTCTGAAACAGAAAACGTGAAAAGATTAATTTTGAGCTGTCTGTGGGGAGGGGTTAAAGGGGGGAGGGGGGATAGGACCTGCCAGTCCCTATAATAGCATTACACCTTATCACATAAATATAGGGGTCAACACGCTATCCTTAAGTATCCATAATACAACACCTGTACAACACAGGTAGCTTGTCATCATCAAACGATTCAGGTGTAAATCGTTAACATTATCAGGAACACTCAGACCAGCTGAACTATTGACAAACTTGCGCCATTCTCCCAACAACATTCCATATCCAAAGTTTTTGACCCAGTTGCCTATTATCACACAAGGATTGAGTTGCCATCGATCTTGTTTGAACTCTGATAACACACCCACTTCCCAGCATTGGATCTGTGTTAAATATAAACTCACGCTCTAAGATGCTCTAATTAAGCTACTCATTTCCTAAACAATTTTGCATGGTCCAGATCAATTTTTGTTCCAGTTAATATTTTGCTGGATTAACGATATTAAATCTGATTTTCATTTTTAATCAAAATCATCAGTACCCAGTAATAACTCTTTTCCATAAAATTTCAACAGAAAAAAAATATATATTAAATTTAACATTTTTTTCAAATCCCTTGACAACCTGTTTTATATAAATAAGACAAATCTACACTAACCAAATGTTGAGCAACATTACCATCCATGAAATCTAAAAATCCAATTAAAATTTTAGCCCCACGGATCGACATGACGGTCAATATACATTATCACCAAGTAGGACACTTTGGTCAACAGACATTATCGCCAAGTATCTGTCCGGTACGAGTAGTTTGTCATCCACTCTCAGGTAAATAACCTACCTGTTGAGAAATATCAGGTGTTTACCATACACATCCAGGTAATATTAACTTTTGATAGTTGTACCCTGTATTCTAAATAACAATTTTTACAACAGTTCCCGACGATGCATTGTCAATGACAGAGCCTGTATCGATACGATAACCAAACTCTTTAAGAAACACGAACATGTCTTAGGAATATATATCTAGAATTTCTGAATCTAAAAAGGGCACAAATTATATCTATGAGGGTCAAGTTCCTTTTAAAGACACACTCCAGTCAGGATCTTTCTGAGACTCTAAATAGGAACAAAAATTGAAAACTAACAGCTTTCAATTTTTGGGACTTCAAAGATATTGTTTAAATATTACAACCTCCTTTTTTAAATTGCATTATGAGTTTTAACAAAACATAACAAGCCCTTTACATCAGTTGATGGACTTGGAGGAGAGTAACTTTCCCTTTCAGAACAGGTCTTTCCTGTATAGCAATTGGTGGTTGTTTTGTTAGATTTAAAATACAATACATTCTAAAGAGAACTGAATATCACCTGACAAATACCCACAACTTTTTGAAAGTGTGATCTGTTTTACCTGAACGAATATTTTAATGTAAGTTATATGTATATCATTGCTATGAATCGGTCCTTTTTAAAAAGCTGTCTATTAATAACCAGTCACCTGATGACTTTTAATAAAACTGTGAAAAAAGTGAATCTAGATACCTAAGTTTGAAAAAGAAAGCCTAACTGGAAACCCTAGCTACTGCAAATAACTTTTAATTCCTATATTTAATGCTAAACATAAACAAAAGACTTTCATACGTATCTTGTTTACAGGAGAAAAGGCTTTCCTGACAATAATTTTATTCTGAACAAATATACATTCAAATCTCATTATGTAATTTTCATAAGGAAAAATCAGTTTGTGAAAACAGGCGTGTCAAGACCAACACCCTTCTGTTGTACACATATAGAAATCGTAGTGTCAGGACTGTTGTGCACATATAGAAATCGTAGTGTCTGGACTATTGTACACATATAGAAATCGTAGTGTTAGGACTGTTGTGCCCACATAGAAATCGTAGTGTCAGGACTGTTGTGCACATATAGAAATCGTAGTGTCTGGACTGTTGGACATATATAGAAATCGTAGTGTCAGGAATGTTGTAAACATATAGAAATCGTAGTGTCTGTGCCGTTGTACACATATAGAAATCGTAGTGTTAGGACTGTTGTGCCCACATAGAAATCGTAGTGTCAGGACTGTAGTACACATATAGAAATCGTAGTGTCTGGACTATTGTACACATATAGAAATCGTAGTGTCGGGACTGTTGTACACATATAGAAATCGTAGAGTCTGGACTGTTGTACACATATAGAAATCGGAGTGTCTGGACTGTTGTACATATATAGAAATAGTAGCGTCAGGACTGTTGTACACATATAGAAATCTTAGTGTCCGGACTGTTGTAAATATATAGAAATCGTAGTGTCAGGACTGTTGTACGCATATAGAAATCGTAGTGTCTGGACTGGTGTACACATATAGAAATCGTAGTGTCAGGGCAGTTGTACACATATAGATATCGTAGTGTCTGGAATGTTGTACACATATAGAAATCGTAGTGTCTGGGCTGTTGTACACATATAGAAATCGTAGTTTCAGGACTGTTGTACACGTATAGATATAGTAGTGTCAGGACTGTTGTACACATATAGATATCGTAGTGTCAGGACTGTTTTACACATATAGAAATCGTAGTGTCTGGGCTGTTGTACACATATAGAAATCGTAGTTTCAGGACTGTTGTACACGTATAGATATAGTAGTGTCAGGACTGTTGTACACATATAGGAATCGTAGTGTTAGGACTGTTGTGCACACATAGAAATCGTAGTGTCAGGAACGTTGTACACATATAGAAATCGTAGTGTTAGGACTGTTGTGCCCACATAGAAATCGTAGTGTCAGGACTGTAGTACACATATAGAAATCGTAGTGTCTGGGCTGTTGTACACATATAGAAATCGTAGTGCCTGGACTGTTGTACACATATAGAAACCGTAGTGTCAGGACTGTTGTACACATATAGAAATTGTAGTGTCTGGACTGTTGTACACATATAGAAACCGTAGTGTCTGGACTGTTGTACACATATAGAAACCGTAGTGTCAGGACTGTTGTACACATAGAAATCGTAGCGTCAGGACTGTTGTGCACACATAGAAATCGTAGTGTCAGGAACGTTGTACACATATAGAAATCGTAGTGTCCGGACTGTTGTACACATATAGAAATCGTAGAGTCTGGACTGTTGTACACATATAGAAACCGTAGTGTCTGGACTGTTGTACACATATAGAAACCGTAGTGTCAGGACTGTTGTACACATATAGATATCGTAGTGTCTGGACTGTTGTACACGTATAGATATCGTCGTGTCAGGACTGTTGTACACATATAGAAATCGTAGTGTCAGGACTGTTGTGCACAGAACCGAAAGTGGCCCAATATCAAAAGTTCCCATGTAGTTTATAGGCTTATAAATACTAATTTCACAAAATCTCACCTTTGTTTTCTGGCCTGAAGAGAGTTAGGTGAGATTCGGTCCGGTAAGTAGGTGAATGCATTGATGCTGCCCTCTAGTTTATAGCCTGAAACAGAAATTAACATTAAAAGATTACGCTGGCGTTATCGACCTGTCCTCTCTGTAACATTGTGTACCTTTCAAATACGTTATCAATGAATTAACAAAGCCTAAATTACGTTCATAAAAGTGACAATAAAAGTCGTCAAGTGTGAAATATGAAATGTTAAGGTCATTTACCATCGACAAAACAACAGAGATATTTAAAATTGATATTTTTGTTTACATACTCTGCAAGTTTTTCAATCAACTGTATTAAACCACCCCTGCTTTAAATGAAAGCTCTCCGAACCAACATCACAGGCACGCTCTACGTAGATCTGTATTGAACGTTGACACCACGTAAAGTGGTGTACTGTAGGTCGACATGGAGGCACCATTTAAATGACAGATCTCTTAGATTAGCCACTAAAACCATCAATTGACAAAATTAAGCCCTGGGGTTCACCAAAGAATCATTTAACATCCCCGTAACTAGACTAAATTTTATTGGGGACCCTTTTAAATAGACGGGTTCCAATGTCGAAATAAAAATATTGCCATCAAGCATAACTAAGATGACATGTTCGTCAGGGTGGATGGTCAACTTTATGATATCAAATCTGTTACTTAAATTCACACATATTTTTCTCTCTTATATTTGTAATAATACAGTTATCAAATTTTTGTAGATTGATTTAAATCCTTTCAACATATGTGATTAACTAAAACAAAAGAAATGATGAGTAACTGTCAGTTACTAACTGACAGACTTACTGAATCCTATCACTACCAAATCACATCGTGTCTGTTGAGACTCTGATATGGAGGTTCACAACCCTGCTCTGATACCATTTACAACTGTGTGTTAAAATTCACTGAGAGGATAAATACTAGTATTGGTTCTAATCACATTTTATCTAGTTATAATTGTATTTTGTATTTTTCAATAAGTTATCTCAAATGGAATGGTTTTTACTGAGCACAAACAAATATTCTGTATCTAAAAGATGCTTTACAAGCAAAAAACATTATTTTCTATCAGATGCTTCACAAACAATATTCGGTATCTTGCAGATGCTTCAAAAACAATATTCAGCATCTTACAGATGCTTTACAAACAATACCCTGTATCTTACAGATGCTTCACAAACAACATTCTGAATCTTACAGATGCTTTACAAACAATAATCTGTATCTTACAGATGCATGCTTCAAAAACAATATTCTGTATATCTTACAGATGCTTTACAAACAATATTCTGTATCCTTAAGATGTTTCACAAGCAAACAGTATATGAAATCATATACCAAGACTACAAATTATGAATCTATTTATGATCCTGTACTACAATATCTGATCATTAATTAATCTTCGGTATATCGTAACACATTTACAAAGAATTTACGACCTTACCAATCAGCAATAACAGGATGCCAAAAATCAAGCTCACCTACCCGCTTGTCCAATAAAGCCAAGATATTAATCAATACAGTAAAACAGTAAAATCCAAAAGCAGAATATTTAGAGGAGTATAAAGATGTGTCGTCCTTTTATAGTAAGAAAGCCGATATGACCTGAATATGTGATTGCTGCACACACATCCCTCGGAAATCTCTGATCAATACAATCTGCCATAAAATGTCCATCTCTCCAACTGGGTATATATACCCTGCCCTTCTGCATCTTCCTCCACTTCACAAAACCAATCATTCATAGTCCCATGAATAAATGAATCTGATTTTCAAACCATTCCTTATTTCCCAATTTTTTGGCCATCAGCAGTAATTCTTTCATACCAACATGTGCAGCATCATTAAATTCTCTCACAATTTTTTATTTTTTTTTCAAAAGTACAGCATTACTATAAGTTAACCATACCTTCAGGAAGTACAAGATCATGATATATCAATGATACCCAATGTTATAACTATTACTCTATATATATCTGGCCCAGTAAACACGATCCCTCCTGAGATACTCGAACAATGCCTGGCGTCATACACCCTCTGACCAATCTTAAGATTACACAGCAGTCGAAAAACCAGGCAATACCAAATGACGTGTGAATATATACATCAGCAGATTCTGTCCCAACCGACAGAGAAAATACCATGGCACCCAATACAGTTGGTAATAAAGTAGTCAGAATGTGTCTGGATTATTATTGACAGATATCCTATAATTATTAATAACGGGTGGTGTTTTATCTAATACCTGTGTGTAAAAGTACATACCCGACTATAAAACTGAAGGCTGATCAATATCTGTAACACCTAATTATGATGTTGTATCATTAAAGATTCTTATTTGTGATATTTTGATTACTGCTATATATCTACAATCCGAACAGATGTGCAATTTTACAGAGTAACAGGAGTCGGATATATGGCTACACGTGTATCTTAATATTATCATTAAAGTTCTCCTTTTCAGAACTGTTGGTTAAAATTACTGACGAGAGCTGCAGGAAAACATATGTCACCTGCCTTTAAGGATTTATTGCTACCAATACTCTAACATATATACAATGTAACTTCTTTTCAAGAGAGTTCCAAACTTTGAAACTTAGTAAATATCTTTTCATAAATGTTTATCTAAAATGTTTTATTACATCTTAAAACACATAAGGTATACAAGATCGTATGCATAGACAACACCCAGGAAATTCTCAACCATACAATAATGAAAATCAGTTTTATGGGAGATAACTCTAACATAAATGTAAGTTAGATCTAAAGTGTTAATTTTGCCCTTATCTACGACCATAATATTCGAGTGAACCAAAAATAGTTATGAAGTCTTTGGCATATGAAGAAAGATTCCTTCACAAGATTTTAGACTGGGATTCGAACCCAGGACCTTCGAACTCTAGACAGACACTTTAACCAAATGAGCTACGATTGACCCAGTCAAGCTTCACAGTACATTCCTTCCTCATTGTCCTAAGTCTTTGCCACCAAAGGTAACACTATTTGCAACCCTGAGGTTCAGGTATCCCATTCCCATGCAAAGAACTTGAACAAGGGTTGGTCACAGGCATCACTGCAACAGGAGAAGAAAAATGCACGGGCAGATTGGGATTCGAACCAAGGACCTCCTAGACAGACGTTCCAAACAAATGAGCTACCTGGTTGTTGACCAAATCCAATGTAATATCCACCAAACTTTAAAACGGACACTTAACTAACTTGATAAAGAGTCTATCTATTTTCACTATACGATAGATTCACGCTAAAAACAGGGGAGACAAGACCACCACTAAGATTAGTTTATTTGCAGTAACACACGGAGGGACTCAACATTCTTATCTAAATGGACAAACAACAAATCAAGATTTAAATCAATAAATCAATAGTTCAAAATCACAGACTGTCAGGGGTTGAGTTCATCTCCAGTTCAAACAGATTTCTCCACAGTTTATATAAACTTGTCGGGATAGCAAAGTAAACCGTGCAACACTAACTTACACCGAGTTACACTTAGAAACAAACGACCCATTGACATATCCGTGAATAAAACTGATGTCTACTGAACAAAACACTGCACTAGAAACAAGCAAAAAAAACCTTACCATATTTAACATGTTTATAAAGATTCTTCAATGCATTAAAATGTGAAGGAGATGATTTGGTAATTTTCTATGGAATTTAAAAACAATTTTTAGCGAATGTCTGTGACATGATGACTTAAAAGATCAGTCTACATGATATTATCATAATCTATCTATCAACTATATATGTAGTAGAAAGAGGTAAAGATAGTACCGTTGCTGGGGCTCGAACCCACGACCCTTTGCTCTCCAGCCCGATGCTGTACGGCTGAGCTAAAGGGAAATTCGCTACAGCTGACGCTTGTAAGGCAACCTAATCAATGCACACCTTTTACATATATATTGTAGAAACACCTTCTATTTTGAAATGCTGAGGCAGTAGAATTTACAGACACTTGCAATGATACTCTGTAATGTATGGCCCTACCTGGGTACACTGGACTCTGACTTAACTGACACTCTGATATATTCAATCGTTGATGTCAGTCAAGTCAGGTTTCAATTTACAGAGTGTCTTACATAAACAATGGACACTTAACACGCACAGGTTTTTGTGATGACACAGGTTTGTAATTAAACACAGAAATGTAGCCACTGAGACAGAATGTCAGATTTACATAGGATTCTATATCAATCAGTGTCCAATTTATATAAGCAGCTTCCAGGTATGAACGAGACATGGAACAAAATAAATTTTATTATCCAAATGTCTTGAAAGTTAATAGCCAAACTGTCTAGATATAGGAATTCCTGAAATAATCTTCTGTCGAAATCTGAAATATATTCAACAGCAATTTATGGTGCAAACTGGGCATTGCTAGTACAAATGTCCACCCAAACTGTTACGACTAGGATATGGCTTCATATATACTTTTTATATAATTTAATGCCGAAGTGATGACATTAAAAGCCAGTAAAGTAATATTTATGCTACTTGACCAGAGATGTTACATTGTAGTACTTACTCAGATAGAGTGAAAGAACTGAAATAACGTTTATAGTCACTTGACAATCAAATAAATTTCTCTAGAGGTCAAGCATTATTTACCTTCAAAGAAATACCTGTATACAAAAGAACCTCTGTAATATGACAACAAAAACATCCATAAAGCAGAACTTGCATGTTTGGTAAACATACTATCAGTCGTAACAGAAATCCTACTAAAATGGGTAGTCTACAATAACTCCTGTCTACAAACACCATCCGATGGATATAGTTATGGACAGGTGCTATTGATAGACAGGTGGTATTGATAGACAGGTGCTAGTTATAGATAAGTGGAAGTTATAGACAAGTGGTAGTTATAGACAAGTGGTAGTTATAGATAAGTGGAAGTTATAGACAAGTGGTAGTTATATTATAGACAAGTGGTAGTTATAGACAAGTGGTAGTTATAGACAAGTGGTAGTTATAGACAAGTGGTAGTTATATTATAGACAAGTGGTAGTTATAGACAAGAGGTAGTTATAGACAAGTGGTAGTTATATCATAGACAAGTGGTAGTTATAGACAAGTGGTAGTTATATTATTTACAAGTGGTAGTTATAGACAAGTGGTAGTTATATTATAGACAAGTGGTAGTTATGGACAGGTGGGAGTTATAGACGAGTGGGAGTTATCGACAGGTGGTATTGATAGACAGGTGGTTGTTATAGACAAGTAGTAGTTATATTATAGACAAGTGGTATTTATAGACAGGTGGTTGTTATAGACAAGTAGTAGTTATATTAAAGACAAGTGGTAGTTATGGACAGGTGGTAGTTATAGACGAGTGGTAGTTATCGACAGGTGGTATTTATGGACAGGTGGTTGTTATAGACAAGTAGTAGTTATATTAGAGACAAGTGGTAGTTATGGACAGGTGGTAGTTATGGACAGGTGGTTGTTATAAGACAGGTGGTATTTATGGATAGGTGGTATATTTAGTCAGGTGGTATTGATAAACAGGCGGTAGTTATAGACAGGTGATAGTTCTGGACAGGTGGTAGTTTTTGACAGGTGGTATTTATAGACAGCAGGTAGCTATTGATGACAGGTCCTTAATACAGTCAGGTGCACATGGTAGTTATAGACAGCGGTGGTAGTTATAGACAGAGGTGGTAGCTATAGACAGAGGTGGTAGCTATAGACAGAGGTGGTAGTTATAGACAGAGGTGGTAGTTATAGACAGAGGTGGTAACTATAGACAGAGGTGGTAGTTATAGACAGAGGTGGTAGCTATAGACAGAGGTGGTAGCTATAGACAGGTGGCAGATGGATAGGCAGGTGAAAGCTTTACACCTATCGTAGATACTGACCAGAGATGGCGATATACAGACGATACTAATTTAGACACAGAGTAGTAAAAGAGAGATTGTAGTTATTTATACTGGTTATAGTGACATTTCGATTGGTGACAGCTACAAACAGAATGCACCAGTATTTACGACCAGTTTGTTTGTTCAAGTATACTGTTATGCAGTGATTCATATGATTACCATTTCTTATATTTTTTACCTGTAGAGCAATAGTCAAGTATTACGGGAAATCAAAGACAGACAAACCTTGTTTGTGGAGTCTGACAAGTTGGCAGGCGACTGTCCACTCGCCGGTATCCAGGCAGCCATCTTTGTTGAGGTCAGACAGGTCCCATACATCTACCAACTGTTCTGGAGATAACTCTGAAGACTTGAGAATCTGGCATGCATCGGCACCTATAGATAGAATTTTAAATTTCCTCATTTAACAAAGGTTAACTTTACAATGGAGAGTGATGGAATAAGTTGGTATGGTATTGTTTTACGGCCCATCTAAAATTCAAATCATTATGGCAGAAATGGAATAATTAATTAGTTTGTTATAACATCAAATTCTGTACTGAATGAAACTGTATAGATATTCTTGTACACTACTTATTTTTTTTATCAAATGTATGTCCCCTCTATTCCAGTTTCATCATTTTCTTTTCGAATTTCACTGACCTTCGAAAAAGCCCTTGCGGCTAGTGTCAAGACTTTGGAACACCCTGAGGTAAGCGTCCTTCTCCTTGTCCGACATGTGGGGGAGCTGTACCAGGGTAGAGGACTTGGGTTTGAGGTTATGGGGGAGGGCCTTTGGAATTTTCCTCCCCCGTAGAATACCACGTGTGAGATGCATCGCCAACACAAACTCATCCACATTGAGCACATTGTCATTTGTCACGTCAGCCAAGTTCCTGAAAAACACAAATTAAAAATTTGTCATCAGTATTCAGTAAAATTTTGACAAAATGCCCCTTGTTTCTTTTGTCACCTCATTCCAACATACTGTATTTCAAAATCGCTTTTTTTTCTATGATGCCAATGATGGCAGTATAATAAAGTTTCATAGTTTAACACATGTAATGAAAGTATATATAGTTTTAACTTGTGTTAAATCTCAACATTTACATGGAATTTGTAAATACTTTATTATATGTGGTTTCCTTTGGTTTAATTTTGCTTAACGTCCTATTAACAGCTAAGGTCATTTAAGGACGTGCCTCCATGTGTGTAGTGTATCCATCCTTGCATGTGTGTATGCAGGAGACAGGGTATGTTGGTGTGCTTGCCTCCTTGTGATTGTGCAGATCTGATGCCGACTTCATAGTGCTATCTCACTGAAATACCATGTCGAAGGCACCTAGCACAGCATTCCACCCGGTCACATTATACTGACAACGGGTTAACCAGTTGTTGACATTCCCCTAAATGCTGAACGTTAACAGGAAATAACAACTACCATTTTTAAGGATTTAGACATGTCCCGGCCTGGGAACAGAACCCATTGTGTTCCTCACCTGGGCGAACGCTCAATATTAAAGCCAAAAAATTTAGGTGTTGCCAAGGAAGGCGCTAGGAAGTAAAAGGTAGTTAGAAGTAGAAAGAAAGATAAAGATCTCAAATATTGTAATGGGTGCAGCAGATTTATTTTGGTTGCTTTTGTGTCCCCAAATTTAGGACACCAAAGCAAATCCCCAATTCTGCAGGGGGTTTCGACATTAGTCGTCTCCTACAATACATGGAGTGGGTAACAGCAGGTGTATTCGTTTCCTGTTCCACGACCTGTAGGGGTGTTATTACAAGTGTAAAACAATAAAACCCTCATTATAATGCTGTCATGCTGGCAGTATAAGTGTATTATACCACAAATTCCTGTATAAACGTTGAGATTAAATACAAAATATAGGTTCCAACCTAATAATCATGCAACTACATGTACCACTGAGAGTTCTGCCTAGTGTATGCTGATAATTGGCAGTGACACATGAAAACCTGAAAAGTGTATTTCTGGCATCACAGTTTCTCATATATGAAATTCATACAGCCATAATTGTAACTTTTAGATATTACATAAAAAATATTTAAGATTCCTGCAATTTTTTAAAAATTTAATGCCGTTATCAAACATTTTGCAAAGTTTCTCAACAAGAATTACACACTTAACCCTTTCACCCCTATGTAGCTTTAATAGACTCTACCATGCATTGATCTGAATAAGTCCATTATGGTCTACAGTGGTGAAAGCGTTAATTAAAGGATTCTTTATTACTTGAAAAATATATACTGAAATTGCTAATTTGTGCATGGTTATCATTGATTGGTTTCAAGTAATTTAGACAAAGGTACATAAGCATTAGTTATTTGACACAAAAAAATAATATTTAATTGCTTTATAACTTATTAAAAAAAAACTTCATTGTCTCATATGCTTAAATCATCCCGAAATATCATAAAAGATATTCTTTAGAAGATACGATATATTGATTCATCAAAAGGTTTGACAGTATATATGTTTAAATTAACCTCAAACTTGGCATAATCTTTAGTCCAGTGAAATTTTCTCGGGATATTGGACTAAGAAAACTAAGAGTTATTTCCCCTGGTCCACAAAAAAATCTTTAAAAATTGGCACTTTGTATGAAATGCACCCAAGATCAAGTTGATAACAACAAGAAAATATTAAGTTACACAGACATTCCTGAGAAGGTGTCTATTGCTTCATATACAAATTTAAATGACTTTAAGTTTTTAAAAAATCTCATATGCATAACAAATTTAGACAATCACTAAAACTAACTTGATGGAAGACTGGGTTTGATTCATCTGCATTGCAAAAGAACATTTGTGACTTTATAATTAATTCACCAAATTGATTTCTGAGTGGATGTTATTTTAAGATTCAATCAAAAAAATATTTTGAACTTTTAAGATTTCAATACAAGATATATATTTCATTACAAATCTGATCGCAGTTTACTGATAAAATCAAAACCAACATTCTTGTTATAAAAATAAATTGAATGGCTTGTAATTATGACATAACTTGTATTAAAATGCTAAAGCACATAAATAAGGTTGACTGTATGGAAAAATGCACAACACATTTAAATACTTAAATTTACAATTCAGAAATTCAATGCTCAATAAATTTTATACAACATTTAAATTCACAGAAATCTGAATCCAATGAATGAAGCTTATGCACAGGTGTTTACATCAAAACAATGTTTATCTTTCCCATCAATAAAACCTGTTTGTTTACACCTGTAGTATCAGGTTGCTCAATTGGTCAAAGTTTTGGTCAAGAGTTTGGAGGTCCTGGGATCGAATCCCAGTCTGGACCCATTTTTCTTTCTATTATAGTGGTGTTTGTGACCAACCCTTGTTTCAAGCAGTGTGTTCACTTGGCAAGGGGATACCCGAACCTTCAATCTAAAACAATGTTGTCTACACAGGAGAAGACTTAGACAAAGGTTTGAGATACTGGTTATAGTCTGCAGCAGGACCAGGCTAGTAGCTATCGTGACCAGGTAGCTCAGATTTTTTAGAGAATTTGTCTAGAGATTGGACATTTTGGTTTGAATCCATTTGCTCTTTTTCCTGTTTCACATTAACACATTCTTACCCACTCCTTGCACGAAAACCGGTTTGTTTATATAAATGTAGCAGTTTAACCTATCTGACACTTAAACCAGTTTGTTTTTAAATCAAGATCTCAGCAGAAATTTCAAAGGTAAAATATGATATCATGAGAAAATATGAATGTACACATACATTCATTGACTTCAGATCATTATAACCACGGTTACAGCCAAAACAGTTTGTAATATATAAACCCAAGAAACCCACTGAATGAAACTTTAATGAACTTGAATTTTGTATTATATTGCTATAGTCAAAGAGGTTATATACCAGGGGGCAATGCACTCCAAAGGTAATCCATGATACAAAACAGTTACCAGTTTTTCAAGTTGCCTAAGATTTACAGAATGCATTCCACTGCATCTCTAGCGTTTCAACATCCCACTTATAGTTATCCTTTTAAAAAATATGAAATATTAACAAACAAAAAAACTTTATTTTGATTCCTATATTGTGCACTATATTTGTACTTTTAAAATATCAAAATTTTAAAATATCACAATACATATTTTGAAATGAACATTTGATGGAAAAATGATACAACAGTAGACTTTATGTTATAAAGTAACACATGACGAAGTGTCACCACTGTTTATCACACAAGGGGGTAGTGTTCCTTGCTGACCCATGCAGTGTATCCTGTTATCATATTAAGCTTTATGTGTGTAGATATAGGTGAAATTGAACGATTATATTGTGTACCAAGTTCAGATTGATGTGTAAATTCATATCACTGGACTAACTGTCAGAATGAAAAAAATCGACACCTCAGTTCTTTTGGTGCAAATGAACAATGCACAATATTGTTCTATTATATTTCATATTTTGTGTTATGAAAAAAAAAATCAAAAATGTTCTTGCAATCTTTAGTGCATATCAATTGAAAATATGTCACATAGGATCTGTTTCAGTCTGTGCCTGGCAGGCCTGAGAAATATAACACTTAAGGACCCTTATCAAGTTGTAACAGAAAATAACGGCATCAAATTCTATCAAGATAGAATGGGAACGGAAACAAAACAGAGCCAAGTCTTACTCCTCTACATAACCAAAATGGACCAATCCTATTTAACGAAAATATGTGACATTTTTTATTTAGGTACACAAGCTAGGACTACTTGTTGAAAACGAATTATCCAGTGCATAATTTTTTAATGGACAAAAGTCACATTTCATTTTTTCAATTAACCTGAACAAGTTTATGATGCGTTAAGAACGACTTACCTGGGATGACACACCTGGAGTTTAGAATACCTATTATTTGAGCTTTGCAGTTTAACTAGCCCTAGTTCATGTAATTACTGTGCCTAAAAACCTCGACTTCATCAAGTACAATATAATAAAATTAATTGTGCACATGAATATATTCCACCATAGTGGTTTGAAAATAGCAGGAACACATAGTCTCAGTGTATTGTTTCTTTTCCATTGTAGTATTTGTTTCTGTGTTTGAATGCCCCTGAATAACATTATTATATATTCAACATATCAGACATGGCATTTGATAACCACAAAAAAGGAATTACTATATTTCCTAAACCCACAGACCTAATTAATATGTAAATTGTCTACATACCTAGACTCTATGCAAATTAGTCTGTTAGCAGGCTATATCTGTACGTTATAAATAGTGTGTACTAAATCTCAGTTGACACATATGTATTTCCCTTATATAACAAGTTATCTCAATTATTAGGTGTTTTTTCTGCATTCCAAAACCTGATTTTAACACACTTTTGCCAGTTATCTCCCTTGTATGGTTAACCATCTCCCATAGATATTAAGACACTCTCATATTTCAGATTTATCTCCCCTTGTTATCGCTGATGGTATAATCAAAGTTCATGAAGGTCAAGATCAATAATTTCTAAGGGAGCTTCCCTAGGTTGTAAATGATCTTCAATAACTTGCAAAGAATAAATTATCTCCCTTAGATTGTAAGTAATTGTCATCATATGTTAAATCATCTCCTTAATATTTAGATTTTATTAATTCCCTCAAATTTCAAATTGTCTCCCTTAGATTATAAGTATTTCTCCTTATATCATTCATCATCTGCTTTATATGTTGAACTATCTTACTAGATTGAGATTTATCCTCTTATATTGCCAGTTATCTCCCTTTGATTCTCACTGAATTCCCTTATCAGAGATTGTAAAGTAAATCTGTAATAGATGATAACCTATCTCTCTGAAGTAGTCTATATCCCTTAGATCCTTTTTCAAGTTTTCTTTATATGATAAAATATCTACCTTGGACTTCTGAAATAAGT